TAGTTTACGCTAATTTCCACCTGTAGTCCCTGAACAACAAAAAACAATCTAAAATCAAGACAAAGAACAACAATCCATAAAATTTATAGACACAATTACTGCTTAAAGTCATAAAGACCATAGCAATCAATTCTAATCACAATCTCTACACACTATCTGTTCATCAATGACTAATACAAGGATTATTTTGACTTAAAACTCAGTTTCAGCAGCCAGATTTTACAGAAAATCTTTCTAATTTCCTCAGCAGCTCTGCTCAAACTGAAACAGTGATTTTATATCTGTTTGTTTTCTGTGTGTTTGCTGCTGGACACTCACCCACAGCATCCACCCCGGAGGACCCGGAGCCCCTCATCCGGATGTACATGAGGCCCAGCAGCAGGAAGAAGAGGCAGGCGGCCGTCAGCAGGAACATGGACAGGTAGTGGGCGCTGAAGCTGCCGGGGGACGGCTGCTCCTCTCTCCTGAACTGCAGCAGCAGCTCATCCTCGGACACTGACAGCTTCTTCTTCGCCGCGAAGTGGTTGGGCGCCGGGCTGTGGTTTGAGTGGTTCCCCTTCACGTGGCTCTGGGACCGGCTGCTGCTGCTTAAGAAGCGCGGCCTGAGCCCGATGGTGAAGCGGTTATCCGGGATGTTCAGGGGCGCCTCGTCCTCGCCGTGAACGTGGTTGTTTTTGTTGGCCTGAACCGAGTGCTCCTCGCCGCCTCTCTTCCTGTGGCTCCGGGGACCTCCCGGCGGCTCCAAKCCCCCCCTAACGTCTTCCACCTCRTCTCGGCCTCCCACCATGTTCTTARTCCCAGGCGGATTACTGGTTRTCCCTCCGGCCTGGGAGCTCCTGTCGCCTACATGGGAGGAAAACGGCACGGTCGTGTGGCTCCGTCGAAGCTCCAAGCTGCRCCGCTCTCCGTCTCGGCCTCCGGGYGCCCGAATGTCCTCCTCTCCGTCCGAGTCCGAGTACTCTCCGGCTAGTTTGCTGCGTCCATTCACAGAGCGTGAAGCGTTCACGTCCTCTTCATCGTCTTCGTCATCCTCGTCTCTCGAACCGTGGAAAAGTCTGGATCTCTTCCCAACGTCCCAGCCCAGCGGGACAGCCCTCTGCCCCTCCGCTGCTGCCTGGGACGGACTCAGAGCGTCACACTGCCTCCTGATGCTCTCAGCAGCTCGCGGTGAAACCGGTCGGATTTTCGGTTGTTGTTGGCAATTTGCGCTGCGGTTCACCCTCCGGCTGTGATTCAGGCCTTTRCGTTTCAGCGGAGCCTCCGCGTCTGACTCGTCGGAACTGAAGCCGAGAACGGAAGACTTGGGGCCCGGTCTTCTGCCTGTGCTCAGCTGCGTGACGTCATGTCTAACTGGCCTAGATGCCGCCGCGCTYCGGCTGCTGCCAGCGGCGCTGCTAACGCTCCCCCCGCCGCGGCTTTTACCTGCTCTGGAGCCTCGCTGCTGCTGCTCSTCGCAGAGTTTCTTCAGTTTTTTCAGGTACACCGGCCGCGTGTTTTCGGTAACTGGACCCGGAGTGAAGCCAAACAGTTTCAGCTGTGAGAAAAGCTCTTCATCCGTTAACTGCGTGGACGCCATCTTGGGGAAAAATGTCATCAACAGAAGGTGGTGYTTCTTCTTCTACGGCTCCTCCTTCTTCTTCGTTGATTTTATTGCGGCTGACGACCAACGTAAAGTTGCATTACTGCCACCTAGACTAAAACTTGCTTTATTTTATTATTTTATTTTTATTCTTCTAACAGACAGGCAAAAATATTATCACTCACCTGTCAGCACCATAAATTAATTATTTTCAGAATGTGTACTGTATTAAAAAAGTTAATTAAAAAAATATCCCGATGCATCTCAGTAATCCCCCGGTAGTAGTGTCCCGGCACAAACAGAGCAATGTTGTATATGCTGTTAAGTGCCAGGAGGACTGCGACCAGTTATACATCGGGGAAACAAAGCAGCAACTGTTCAAAAGAATGTCCCAACACAGACGAGCTACATCTAATGGCCAGAACTGTGCATTTTTCACTTATTTACAGGCCAGCGGTCACTCTTTCAGAGATGAGGATGTTCTCATTCTTGATAGAGAGGAACGTTGA